ATCTCTTTCACAGACAACAGTATCTGGTTTATTTAGATAATTACTTCTTGGTATTGAATTTATCCAACGATTTCATTCTTCTTCATTGGAAGGAAGCCTAAAAGCTCATACTTTATTTTTGGCGTCATAGTTTCCTCTACATTCAGGAACATAGCACTTTTTAACCATTTATTGTAACAATCAACTACTTACAAATTGGAATTTTAAAAAACTTAAATATATCTTTCCCTAAGATTGTCCACCCCAGTCAAAAATATGTATTCGCGAGGGGAAGGCCTGTAGTAAGTATCGCCATGATTTATTTATTTATATATATATATATATATATATATATATATATATATATATATATATATATATATATATATATATATATATATATATATATATATATATATATATACATATATATATATATATATAAATATTTATATATATATATATATAAATATATATATATATATAAATATATATATATATATATATATATATATATATAAATATATATATAAATATATATATATATAAATATATATATATATATATATATATAAATATATATATATATATATATATATATATATATATATATATAAATATATATATATATATATATATATATAATATATATATATATATATAAATATATAAATATAAATATATATATATATACACACACACATATATATATATATATATATATATATATATATATATATATATATATATATATATATATATATATATATATATATATATATATATATATATATATATATATATATATAAATATAAATAAGGGCTCAAATTAAATGATCGCCAATTGCAATATCTGGAAACGCTTTAAATTTTTTTAAAAAAATTTTTTTTTTCTTGAATTTTTTTCAATTTTTCTTTAAATTTTTTTAAATTTTTCTTTAAATTTTCTTTAAATTTTTTTAAATTTAAATTTTTATCTAAATTTTTTAAAGTCTTCAAATCTTTAGCTTTTTAAAAATAATAAACTCTGTTTGATCACTGATCTTAATAGCTGTTCAATTCAAACAAAAAATATTTATACTGATCTTGAATAATTGATATAAAATATTTATTTTTTAAAAGTATTGTAAAGCCATAATATTACTCCCAGTGGGAAATGAGCTAGCGACTAGCTAGCTTTATAGCGATTTTCAAGCGATGTTTTATTTCTTATTTTATTCTTTACTAATGTCTCTAACATCTTTAACAATTCGATTTTTAGTGTTGAGTCTATAATAATTATAAGAATAATTGAATTTTAAACACTGCGATTTTGTAACAATGTGTCGCTAGCTACATATCGTAGTTTTGTAGCTAGCTACAAAATATCTACAAATCTATAGCTGGTTGATAGCTAGATACCAAAATTTTTTTGATAGCGATTTTATTACAATATGACGGTAGCTACAACAGCCTGTGAGTCTTTAGCTTATTAAGCTAGCTGTCCTCGTATCCGAATCGCTGTCTTTATCTTTACAAATATCGATAGCTTTTCACTAACTTAAAAAAGCTAGCAATCCTTGTGGCCAAATTGCTGTCTTTATCGTAACGATTATAGCTAGCTATTAGCTAGCCGATTTCCCAACGGGCTATTATTTTTATCATTATTAAATATTATGATTTCCACTATAAATTTTAATTCATTGTATAAATCATGAGATATAACTAGAATAATAAAGCATGATCAAGTATGATATAATTATTAAAAAACAACTGATAAAAGTCTAAAGGAATTTAGTGGTGATCAAATACTTAATAAAAGAAATCATGAAATAAGATATAAAATACTTTTATATCTTACTTAAATCTTATTCAATTTTTCTCAATATTTTCTCATAAATTAAATACTCATGACTCTTTTGCAGATATGTATACAAAACTAGCGAGCCAACAAAACTCAGAAAAAAGTTAAGTTTGGTTTTTATTGCATACTTAAAACCTAAAACAAAAAGAATAACACGTGTCAAGAATGATTTCTATTCCCTGAAATTAATTATTATTATTTTCCAAAAATACCAGTTAAAATATTAATGGTTTTACCATTATGGAAACATAGTATTATACCGTAATAAATTTCTGTAAGGAATATGAAACTGATAAAAGCATGCTACATTTTAATTCGAATTTTAAAATCTCAAAGAACATGTGTAAAAACTAGAGTAAAACTGCCTGTAATATACACTTGTTTTTGGTTTGAGTCTGGATTGTGACAAACATATGTCTATAAAGATTTTAATTCTGAAATTGAAACTAGATGTGCTGGCTGGGTAAAGACAGAGGAGTTTAAAAATATATAAAAACTAACTTAAACTTTTTATAGTTATTTTAAAACAAAACAATAAAACTTTTATAAAATAAATCTTTTTAATTATTTTTATTATCAATTAATTAATTTCTAATTTCAAACATTTAAATTTTTAAATAAATAATTCCTTCAACTTGCCCACTAAACAAAAATCAATGTAATTTCCATATAATGTGCAAGTAGCTTTAGCAAAATTTTTTATTGGTTTATTTTTAAATTGCCATGTAAATTTTTTGGCATTCGGCATCGCTGACCAAACTGCCAACCTGAAAGTGTTTGAAGTCAGCGAAAAATTGCAGATCTTGTTTTTATGTTTTATGGTCGCACCTTTGTATCAAATAATTTTTACCGACTTGATGCTGGCCTCAAAAAGATTGAGGTCGACAAATTATTGCGGACCTCATTTTTCATTTCCAATATTCAAAAATTCATTTTTTCATTCAAATGACACCTCATTTTTCCTAATTCAAATATATATATATATATATATATTATATATATATATATATATATATATATATATATATATATATATATATGTATATATATATATATATATATATATATATATATATATATATATATATATATATATATATATATATATATATATATATATATATATATATATATATATATATAAACTTAGGTTTGTTGATTAATATGATTTATTACATAATAAATTAGTGTGAAAATATTTTTTAAGAATGTAAATTATATATGCTGTATTAAATCTTGGAATAAGTGTACCTTTTGGGTATCACTGGTTTTATCTTGTAACTCAAGATTTTGATTAAAAATCCTCAATAACATTCAGTATGTTGCTTATAATATATTTAAATACATTTCTTTTGAGTTGAATTTAAAATCTTAATTATAACTACAGTGAGGGGACATGCAGAAAAAATAAATAAACCTTTACACTTTAAATTTATATAACATACCGCTAATAAGTTATTTTATAAGCTTTGTCTAAAATATTATAGTTTAGTTAAAAAAAAAAAAATTTTTAAACAATATTAGCCAAGAATTCAAAATAAATTTCCTTTTTTCCTTCAATCAATATATGTTTTTTATCATTCTTTTTAATGTCATTTTAATGTGATTTTTTTTTTTTTTATTTTTGCTTTGCCTCATCCAATTTTGTTGCTGAAATTAGCAATCACTCTAAAGAAACAAAAATAAAAAAAAGTAAACAAATTATTTAAATTATAAATTTTTTTTATTTTTATATTTAAATTTATTTCAATTTCCTATTTTGTTAGTTTATCTTTTTTTGTTAATAAAACATAGTTTTTTCTACAATGCTTAATATAATAAAACTAACAGCCGTGACCAAGTTGTCTAAAATAAAATACTTATGCGTGGACATACAAGATGAAAAACTGCGCACATTTCTGGGGAAGGCTTGTAGGTCATTATCAGACATAAAATAGTGCCAAAATAAAACTGTTACAAAATGAATCTTAATAAAATAACATTAAAAAAGCAATTATTTCAAAGGGATCCCCAATTGCCAAGACAAGTTGTGTTCATATGATAGATAAACATTAGAAAGCAAGTTAATCTCATTCAATAATTTGTTTTTGAAAGTTTAATTAACTTATTTTTTAATGTTTATCTATGATATGAACACAACTTGTTTCAGCACTTGGGAATCTCTTTGAAGTTTTAATAAATTCTTAATAAAAGATTGCTAGCTTTTAATCACAATTCTATTACAAAATAATAAAGAAGCCAATGTATTGCTGAACTTTTAACTCATCTATTGTTATCTGTTGAGTGTACAGAGTGATTATAAAATATAACTTTAAATTTTAAAAGACGCCTTTAGAGAGTTTAATTTATATAACCAATCAAAAACTTCTATTATGGAAATAACACTTAATTTTAATTAGTCTAAAAATAAAGAGTTACATGTTTATACTTTAGCGTTGAATAAAAAAAATTGCCTCAAACTTATAACTTATATCAGCTAAAGTTCAACATAAAGGGAACTCACTTTAGTCGAACATTCGTTAAATCAAACTGTTTTCCTAGGTCCCTTGGAGATTCAAGTAATCGGGAATTAATTGTATATTATTAACAGATTGAAATAAATTTATGAGGACCTTTAAATTCATTTCTAAACAAATTTTTATAATTAATAATCAGTGTTCAGACATTTTAAATTGATGATTTTTATCTTTGACGGAGTGAAAAAAGCATCAGAAGTTTATAAAAAACACAATAATGATATGAAAAAAATGACCACTTTTAGCCAAAAAAAGCCACAATAAAAACTTATTCAAAACTTATTTATACTATTTTTGCTAAAAAAGAACCATTTTAATATTATTTTGACATATAAACTATATTTAGCCATAATAAAAATTTATTTAAAGCTTATTATTCAACTGCCAAGAAATAGACAGCAAGAAATAGACAGTCTGTATAGTCTAAAGCTAATATAGCAACAAAAAAAATTATTGAAAAAAGTAATAATGAAACTTGTATAGCAAGACAAGGACACAATGATATGTATTATTATCAAGTCTAATGTCTAACTGTACAACTCCTAATTTAAATTAAAAAATTAATAGAAATTAAAAAAAATAGTTTTAATGATTGTATAGATATTTATTTAAAACATAAAACTTATTTTGTTAAAAAAAAAAAAAAGATTTATAAAGCTGACCTATAACTGTGACTGAGATTTTGTAAGAAACATTTCCATATTCATTCATGCCAACGCAGAAGTAATCTGTATTTTTTAAAGGATATACTACTAAATTACTTATGGAAAAATTGCTTTCAAGATCTGTTTTAGTTATGTTTTCAGTGATTTCATTATTGAGTGTCTCCCACTTGATTACAGAAGCAAAACTTATTATGCATTGCAATTTGGAGGCTTCTTCAACAAAAATTGAATGACTGCTACTTGCATTAATAAGCAATGGAAGGGATACTAAAAAATTAAGAGCTTTTTAAAAAATATCAAAAAATTAAATAAAATTAAATATATTTACATTTTTTAAATTATTGAACAAACTGAACAGTGTATAAATAAATAAAAATATTTTAAAAATAATAACACAAATAATAGTTTTTGATTTTTAATCAAATATAAAAGAGAAAATTAAAATTTCAACCATTATCTTTAACTTCTAAAGATGCTATGGCATCATAAGTTAAAAAAGCATAACAAAGCCAGATTAAAAAGTGAGTGGTGCCATGGTAAACCACAACCATCATTTCATTTTATATACTCATTTTTATTGTGTAATTTAATGCTAAAATCTGAAAATCTACGTATAAACAAATAGTATAAATTTTATTACTGAAATAATTTGCATAACAATTTTTACAGAAAACAATAACATGTTGAGCTTGTTTTTTATTCAAGCCTTAATTATTTTATATTTTTTAATGTTTATTTCAAAAACAAGTTATCTATATTTTAATGTTTATTTATGCACGTAATATAATAGCAAAAACAGATAAAATTTAATTATGTATTTATTGCTGTATGATATAGTAAATTTAAATTCAATATTTAAACTACTTAATGATGAAATGCTAACACACATGGTATATGCAGCTATTAGAAATTAAATAACTACAAACAAAACAATACTCAGTTTGCTTAATATAATAGCAGTCATATCTTATTTCCAAAGTTATATAAATAACATAACCAAAATTCTTTTATTTGAACTCAGATATATAAAATAGAGCAATCAAGATTTCAACGGAGGTTATTAACACCGGTTTTAACGGAAGTAGAAAAAATTTGGTTTCCTATCCGGACTACTGGCCTAAATCGGTGGTATCACACCTTTCGTTAACAATTTATTTTATTTTTTTTATTAATATGTAGTATAATATGTTGTTTATGAATAAAAAAATTTGAACTTGTTAATTAACTCACTCAAACAAATGTTATTTGAAAGTTTGACAAAAAAATCTATATGGAAAACATTTTTTAAGAACAGACAAGTAACACATTGTAAATATCAATAAGTAAAACATTTTTAAAAGTAGAACGGGTCTTAAAGAAGATACGGTTCATACAGTATCACCCCAAAAAAATTTATTTTTGATGATATATAAAAATTCTTCAAGAAGTTGGAAATATAAATTTATTGACTATGCTACTGAGATAAAGTAGGAAAGTAAATTATTTGAACAATTTCAAAGATATTTTGGAAAAGTTTATTTTATTTAAATTTAAATATTCAAAATTTTAAAAATATATACAAATAAACAAAGATTTAATTACTAATACATAATATACATAATATATATATATATATATATATATATATATATATATATATATATATATATATATATATATATATATATATATATATATATATATATATATATATATATATATATATATATATATATATATATATATATATATATATATATATAACTCTTTACTACTAAGATTATAAGGTAAAATTTATCAAAACAACTTCGCAAATTCTTCCTAATCAATTAATTTGCAAAACTAAAAATGTTTTTTTTTTCTTGAAGCGTAATGAGTTAAATGGTTTTACCATAATTACGATATCTTTTTGATACAATTTAGTTCTTCGAAATGTTATTGAATATTTTGTATACTTATTTAATTTCGTTGGCAGTTTGAAAGAATTTGATTGATTTGTTCTTAAAAAATGTTTTCCATATAGATTTTTTTGTCAAACTTTCAAATAACATTTGTTTGAGTGAGTTAATTAACAAGTTCAAACTTGAAAAGTAGATACTGGTATGGTTTAAATCAAGTGTTTATTTGATATATTTTGAAAGGGTTTGACAATGCTCCCCTCGTTTATAGACAATTTAAAATGCTCTTATTTTTTCCCCGTATATAATTCTATACGCTTGTTTTTGCTCACTTATTATTTTTTTAAGTTTATTGTTTACTAACCCATGTAACATTGTTATATTGGTTGGGTACTTCCACATGTAAGGGAAATATTTAACTTTTAGATATGTATATACAAGCTTGGTACTTTAAAAAAAATATCAATTCTAAAAACATTCATCTTGCATTTTTCAACGTTTAAAAACAGTTTACTAACTACAACCGAATGATTATTTAAATTTTATAAATTTAAACTTTATGTCTGTGTAAAAAGTTAGAATCATTGAGCAACCGTGACGCAGTGGTTAGAGTTCTGGCTAAGAACCCAGACGTTAAAGAATCGACGCCGGCTCTAGCTCAAATAGCCAACATTGGTAAGGAAGGAGGTGCGAGCTTCTCAGTTAAATGCTCTTTCGCGGTGTTCTGTGGTAAAATCGTAAGGACTTTTGGGAGCACCTTAATAAACTACGAATAAAAATCATCTGCAAGCATAATTAGGTTTAACTTTGCAAATGCATTATTCAAGTCATTTATTTAAAATAAAAATAAGAGAGGACCAAATAATGACCCTCGAGGTATTCCACACGAAATTTTATATATTTTGTACTCTTTATTTAGAAAACATCGTTTAGTTCCAACAAACTAAATATTAATCCAATTAGTAAACCTTATAAGTCATTTTGTATTACTTTAACATTATTAACAAAATATAATTTAATACGATATATTTTTAGAGAATACGATATAACTTTGATTAAATAATATCCTTTGTAATTGTAAATGCGGAGAAACATTCAAACTTATGCTTTGTCTTGTATAAAGAGTGGCATATTTCAATACGCAGCGGCATTTTAAGTAATAAGTTCATCACATTTTTTAACATAAGAGTTACGCATGTCAATTCCTTGACAAAAAATATGGAGCTGTAGCTATATTCAAAAAACACAAAAAAGAGAAAAAAAGGAATTTGGTGAACGAATTCGTGTTTTATTCTGTAAGTAAATTTCAAACGATTCGGTTTTTATTTACAGAATAGTCAGATTATAGAATAGAACTCTAACCACTGCAGCCATGATGCACTTGCTTGAGTTCTGGCTATGAACAAAGCGGTTCCTGATTTGACGCCTGCTTTATCTAAATAAGCGACATTAATAAGGAAGATGGTGTGAACTTCCTGGTTGCTCTTCCGCAGTGCTCTCTGATAATAGGTCTTTTTGAAGCACCTTAGTATCGCAAGCTTTTGATATATTAATAAATATACCTTATGCAAGTTTGTTTTAGTTAAAGACATTATGTATTTGATTGACTAATTTAATACTTACATTTTTGTTGAATGATTTTTGTTGAGTAAAAAATTTGAATAAAAAAGAATTTATTTTTGTCTAAAATAGTCAAAGATTCTAATGCAAACTATAGATTCTAGTAATTTTAAAAATACAGAAAGCACTGATGTAGGCTTATAATTGAAAAAGAAAGATCTATTATTGTAAATTTGGTAAACTTAATTAAAATTGTTTTGCAGATTTTAGTACAGAAGAAAATATCTCTTGATTCTACTATATACTCTTGATCCTACTATATACTCTTGATCCTACTACATACTCTTGATCCTACTATATACTCTTGATCCTACTATATACTCTTGATCCTACTATATACTCTTGATCCTACTATATACTCTTGATCCTACTATATACTCTTGATCCTACTACATACTCTTGATCCTACTACATACTCTTGATCCTACTATATACTCTTGATCCTACTATATACTCTTGATACTACTATATACTCTTGATCCTACTATATACTCTTGATCCTACTATATACTCTTGATCCTACTACATACTCTTGATCCTACTATACACTCTTGATCCTACTATATACTCTTGATACTACTATATACTCTTGATCCTACTATATACTCTTGATCCTACTATATACTCTTGATCCTACTATATAAAACAAAAATACTTTTTATTCTTAAAAAAAAAAGTGAGGACATTTTTTTGTCTAGAGGATTTTTTTTTATTATTATTATTAAAAGTTTCGCTGTTCTTATAATTTAGAAATAAAAATACAAACAAACTTTTTCAAATACAAAGAAACTTTTTGATAAAATAAAAAAAAACGGTTTATATAAACTGACAGGGACTCAAAGAAGGTATGGATGACCGGAGTCACCACAATCATTTCATACCTATTTGGGCTTTTAACCATAAAATTGTAATAAAATTATATAAAACTCCGTTAAAATTTGAATTAAATATGGCGTTAAATATGTACAGTAAAAGACAATAAATAAATTTAACTCAAATAAATATAAATTAAGTTAAATAAAAAATAAAACATGATATAAGAAATTAAGTTTAATAAAAAGGTTTACGTATCAAATTTCAAAGCTTTTATTTGATTTCAAAATTTCTTTTTTTATATGAAACTTAAATGAATATACAGATTTCACAATATTGAAAAAATTAAAGCTGTTCCATATTTTAGGAATATGCTCAATATGCTATGCTGTACTTTTTATATTTAGTTAATTTACGAGGCAGTGTAAATGTAAGCCTTTCATTAGATCTTAGAGAACTGTTGTTTTTTTGATTTATTTTAAATTTTATTTTAAAGTTGTGTAGTTTAAGATTTTTTAAATGATTATGCATAAGATCATGTCTTAAAATCTGTTTATCTCATATAAATTCAACACTTTCATTTCTCTTATTAATGGTTTTGCATGCTCAATTCAATTTTTTTAGTATATAATTCTGTTAGCATGTTTTTGCACACAAATATCTTTTTAAATTTAGCATGTTGTATGCTAGCCCACGCATTGTTACCATAATTAATGTAGGCATGAATTAGGCTAAAGTTAATTTAAGATTTTGATTATATAGAGGACTTTCTTTTAGATATTGACGATTGTGCCCTTTCACTTCGAAAATCGCGATTGCCCGCTCTTACTTCGAAAATCACGATTGTGCCCTCTCACTTCGGAAATCACGTGGTTTAAAAATAAGTTTTTGATTTAGATTTCAGAATTTATTTTTAAACGAATCAGATAACTACTTTATAGCGAGGAACAAAATAACTTATCCAATTTTTCATATCCTGCAATGTATAATTTAGATTAAGTTTTGTAAAACAAGTTTTGCAACATCTGCAAAATATATTTTTTGCAGTAAACTCTTTATATTCTTGTTAAATATTTTTTTTAAAAACATTTAACAAGAATATAAAGATCGGCAGTCAAGTATTAGGCGGATAGTAGATGTCGTGATACCAATATTTATTTTCTAACCTCGTCACTTGTATGACTTGACGAGTTTAAACCATATAATGATAATTAACAAATTAAAGTATTTTTATGATGAAATTTTTACAGCAGGAGGAATATCTCTAATCAACCGTTCAACTAGAGTAACTAAAAGATCTACCACTATT